TCCCCCGCCTTGTTTCCCATGCCACGGTTGCTGTGCAGCGGTCCTTCCAGAGCACTTCGTAGGCTTCTTGCTCTATGTAGGCAACAAAGCTGTGTGCAATGGATGTCGCAGCATTCTCTGTCACTAAGAATAACCGTTTTCATCTCTCTATCAGAGATCGTGGTGTCAACCCTTGGCAGAGGGACAAGTGCTCCCAGTCTTCTCTCTCCTTTCCATGACCCGAGTCGCGTCCAATGATGCATTTATTTCCAATGACATTCATTTCTTAGCCATGCCATGCATCCCTCCCTGCTCCCTATCACTTATCCATCCTCTCCTTCTTAATTACCTGTCATCCCTACAACTTTTTACCCCAACTCTGATACAATTATGACAGACATTTGGTCCACATGACCTCGACCAACTCTCTCTTTTTTTCTTTTTTTTTTTTTGCTCACACCTCTTGCACACACATACACACCATCTCCATGCTCTTGATTCCTTTCACAGCGAACCAATATCCCTTTTACCTGGCACGTTCTCTCACCCATCCACTGATCGGTTTTTTTTTTTTTTTTTATAAAACCCATCCACTGATCGTGTCTACTACAAAAGAAAAGAAAGAAAAGGTCATTACAGACCAATCATGGCCAAGTAGTAACAACAAAATTCCGAATTCCGGGAGAATTCGCCGAATTAGTGATTTTTTTGGGTCATTTCCAGCTTGATTGCTGGTAAATCAGCAGGCTTTCAGCACAAATGACACTTTAATTGTCAGCATTCATCAAGAAGCTTCCTTGGCTCAGTTGGTAGAGCGTGAGTCTCATAATCTCAAGGTCGTGAGTTCGAGCCTCACAGGGAGCAATTCCTTTTGTCTTTTGGTAAATCTTCATTTTTTTGTCCGTTTGGATGCAGTCTGCTTGGCAACCAAGCATTCTCAATCCTCTTTTTTGCACCCAAGAGCAATCTACTCTACAACTTTTCCTTTTTATGGCAGAAATGAAGAAGAGGAGTACGATGGGATTCGTTGAAACTAGTATTTAAGCACCAACTACAATAAAATCATGTAGTGTAGGATTGGAGAAAAATTCTTTTGCTTTTCCCCTTCCCTCCCCCCCCCCCGGGTCTTCTTGCGATAACAACCATCGATCTTTTTACTTTCTACCATTTCCTCCTTATGCTCTTACAAGCAAACTCGCGAAAGTTTGCTTGTAGAAACAATACTTGCTGAGATCTTAAGTTGACTCTCTTAAGATTCGATTTTGGACATAGGCGCAACTAAGCTAAAGTCTTCATTTTGAGAGTATCTTGTAGGATGACAAAGTGTTGGTGAGATTGGGTGTGGTTTATTCCAATATTTTATACTCGCTCTCTAATTTGACTCCTAGCTTTTTTTTTTTACTATATAGTAATCAAAGACTTTCCTCCCCTCCCCTCTTCTTTCGTATGAGATCTTGGCCGATAGTTGATGACCAAGCTAAACATATTTCTATCAAAATGTGCGTTATGTGTGCCTGTCAGTCATGTCACTTCACTCATACAAACCCTATTTCTTAGGTAACACCGCCTAGTCGTTCTATGTATGAGGCTGTGGCCTTGCCACAATATATATAAAAAAATGCTCAGTGAGCTGTCATAACTCCTTTTTTTTGCCGCTTGATCTATGAAAGGATTTTGGAGTGACACGCAAGGCCCATCTCACGCGTTCGCTTTTTTGCCAGAACAGTTCTCATGGAGGAATCTGCTTATGACAACACTTGTTTGTGTGCAACAGCGTACTTTACCAGAAAATGTGATTCGCTCTGCCTAGCATGTCCAAGTGCGCGTCCTAGAGAAAATCCAGTCTTGCTCCTGACAAAAGCTAACCTCTGGGAAGCGAAATCTTTTCGAGATTGGGATGCAAGATGAATGTGGGCTTTACGAAATAAATCGTCAACCTCAATCACCGGGAAACAAAGCTGCAAGAAGGATCCAGAGGCAGACAGTAATAAAGACTAATGGTGTATGCAGTTAGTTCTCTTTTATTTCACCCTGTTTCTCTACAAAGTATCGTCTACTCTCCCTAGGAATTGGTTGACCCTATCGCTCATTTTTGTGCATGTCTTGACGACAAGTGTAGTGCTTCTCTAGGAGAGAGGTCATTCTAGTCACTGTTTTCACCAAGGATGACGACCGTGGGCCAGGTAATATTGACTTCATCCTCTTCCGCAAGCCCTTCCATTTGTAAGATCTCATCAATGGCCTCGTCCACAATATCTGGTCTCGTCGGATACTTCTCACAATAGTTCTTATAAGACGACCAAGTTTTGATATAGTTACGCATATGTTTCATGCTCACTACGTCATTCATCGCCAGAGGTTGATCCTGCCCCAAGGTTGCATTTGGGAAGTAGTGGCGCTCGACATTGGCCATGGGTATATCGACCGATTTGTACAGGTTATCGAGAATGAGTCGTCCATTGTCCCAGAACGTACCCAGCTGATCAGGCTCGTTTCCGAGTTTGAAGATCCTATCCGTAACTCGGGAGTGGTCTTGAAAGATAATGAACGAGTAACCGATGGCAGCAAACGTGCCTCTGGGCTTGAGGACCCGCTTGACTTCAGAAAAGAATTGAGGGTGATCAAACCAATGCAAGGCCTGAGCTACGGTCAAGACATCGACACTCGAGGATTCGAGAATGGATAGATCTTCGCTTTTCGCAATATGGTAGGTGACATTGTCCTTTTGGACTGCGTTCTTTAGCATGGTGGACGAGGCATCCAAGCCCTTGACGCGTGCAAAGGTAGTAGCCAATTCGTATGCAACCTTGCCCGTGCCTGTCGAGAAGGAGAGGTGAACGGTTAGACCAGTATTCCCCTCTCCTGAATGAGCAGACCTGACCAGAGACTAGGAAACAAAAAAAAATCGATGGTGTTCTCATGCACCTGTGCCGACATCGACTGCAATGTCGAATTGTCCATTGTGGTTGCGATGGTAGTTGTAAATCATCTTGAAAAAGTGATTGTTATAACCAGGTCGGAAGGACTGGTACAATGCACTGTTAAAGGATTTGCTCGAGAAGGTAGCCATGAGTGTTTGATAGAGAGAGTGTGTGTGTGGTGAATGTGTTGTAATTGAATTGAATAGAGATCAATTCTCAATTGCAGGGATCACGAGCGGTCCTTTTATCCGGCTCTCTAAACCATTTGAGTTGTGCACGGGTGAGTAACGCGCTGCTAGTGCACAAGGGGGCGCCATCGGTCTCTGCCACCGGTGGAGTATCTTCTCGTCATCCAAGGCGCAGCCAGCGCTCGTGTATGTGTCATATCCGGACAAGTCCTACCAGCCCGCGCTTCACGAGCATCATCAATTGCTCGCAAAAGCCTCCACCCCGTTCCTTCTCCCTTCTGAATGAGGCTAGGTCAAGGGCTTGAGTTTTTTTTTGCCTCAATCACCACTCTCCATTTCCGGCTACTTCCATTTTTGGGCAGAATGGGCCTTGTGCGGGGAACTTTGCACGTTCCCCCTTACTGCTGAAGGATCATATAACTCTGGTGACCAGGAATGAGGCAAACGGGCGTCTTTCAAGCAAGGACAGCGCAGCTCGGTTCGTCGGTCTCCCATTGCGGGCATGGTCAACCTCAGGTACATCACTCATGTTATGCTAGTGTATTGTTTATTGCCTCGGGAGCTATGACTATGGCAACGGGTCTACTATCCGTCGTATAATTATACCCATGCTCACCCAGTACAAACCAATAGATGTTACGGCTGCCTTGGCTATCCAGTCAGATCGACCATCCAAGAGAACATATCCACTCAATGCTGAACCATGGACTGCACTTGTAATTGCTGAAAAGGCAACGCCTACCACTCGGACCCAGAATATTGTTCTTGTTTGGGTCGAGTCAGCATCCTCCTGGTCTAGCACACATTCGGTCAGAATAAGGACTCCAAGAAAGAGGAGCGCCAGAAGCATAACCAGCGACACTTGTGCTACAAAATAGGCTAGCCATTGGAGACGACGGATCCTGGTGGCAGCATCTAGTTCGGGAAGGAATACGCGACGCTGATTCCTGTGAGCAGACCTTGGCCTTTTGGTCTCTGCTCTGGTCTTCATTCCTGTCTCTGTGGCAAAGTGAGAAAGACCCGGCGATGGCGCCAGGTCTGATGAAAACTCGGAGCTGATAGAGGTCGATGAATCTGTCCCTGATGCCTCCTCACCTCTATTATGGACTCTTTGACGCCTTTTCTCCCATTCGACCCGCTTCTCTCTGACTGGCCTAGTGGCAGTACCCTTACTGAGCCTGCGGGTGGGCTGCTCTTTGTTTACATCTCCGTGGTGGAGACCTTGCTCCATGTCCATGTCAACAGACCATTGTTTGTTCAAGTCAATGGCATCAATATTTGCATGATCGCTTTTGTGCTGTTGAGCGTGGACAGAGTCTTGGGTAGTAGGGTTTGTATAGATCCAGCGCTTATCGTGATTTGTGTCTAGAGCACGCGTAGTCAATCTGGCTGCCACAGGTGGATGGGGCCAGTTGATGAGGCCGGGGATACTGTTTTGTAGATGACCAAAGGCAAACATCTGGATCAGATGGGCGCCGACAAGTACACAAAGTCCTACACCGGCCAGCATGACATAAATTCTTGCCCGTTGGACCGTGAGTGAGATGAGGTCAAACCGTTCCAGACGTCGGTAAAAGAAGCAGAGTGCTGGGAAGAGTGTCAACGGGGGCACGAGCGCAAGCAGGATCGTCCCTACTGGAGGGATAGCCACGGGAGGGGTTGAGCATGAGATGAAGGCCGATGTGAGTGCGATGGGGATATAGCCTAGCGACGCAATCGCGTGAAAGAGCCCATGCAGAAAGACTGGGGGCGCCATATGTTCAATGGTAGGGTTGAATGGGTCCTCTCTCTCACTCTCCCACTCTCTTTGTTTGAGCCGCTCTTTTGTGCGTGTGTATGTGTTATTTTGCTTTGGAGGTGTGGAGGGAAAGTCAAATCAAAGAAAACAGAGAAAGAGCAAGCATGCAAACGAGCGAGAGAGGATGTGAGGGGGGGACAAGTGTGTAATTTTTGTGTGTGGATGGGAGAGAAGCAGGGCACGATAAGGTCGCTGATTTGAAATGTTGAGGTCCAAGAGTGCTTGAACT